CCCACATGTGGCACTCCAGTATACGCTTGCAGGAGGTTGCTGGTTTCTCGCGATTTACAACATGTGTAACACCCACATGTGGCACACAGACTGTCTTAGGCCCCATACCAGCCTCCTCTTCACTACTAACTACCAGAGTAGGAAACTGGAGAAGAATCTACTAGGAATTTACCAGGAAGTGAAAATGTTTCTGTCTTCCTCCATCCCTCACTCTCCACCATCCCAACACCCACAAGGGGCCAGAGCAGAACACCTACACACTTTTTAACACAATCTCCTACATCTCTACTACCTACTATACTACAGTAGAAAACTGAAAGATGAACCTACTCTGGTGTTAGGCATTCACTGAAAGGAAGTGACAATTTCTATTCCCCTGTTTTCCTCCATCCCTAACTCTAGGGTAGGCAGAAACATTCTCACTTCCTGGTAAATTCCTGGTAGATTTTTCTTCAGTTTCCTACTCTGGTAGTTAGCAGTGAAGAGGAGGCTGGTATGGGGCCTAAGACAGTCTGTGTGCCACATGTGGGTGTTACACATGTTGTAAATTAACAGCATTGTAAAGAAATAGGAGTTTCACCATAATGACTCGAACACAGTGTGGCTTCTAGTAATGCATGGGGAGGGGGTTGCAAGGGTATAAAAGCCATGCGAGGAACTGGGTGAGGACATCAAGATTTCTGCTACAAACAGCAAAGTATCTCCTGCAAACAGCCAACAATGGTTTCTCTTCGCCTCATCTCTGCAATGGTGCTGGCCTACTGCACCATAGTCAGCGCCAGTCCAGCAAGCGATGCCTGGTTCATGAAAGGAATGAACGAGCTTATGGAAGCAAAAGAGCAAATGGATGAACTGATCCACGATGACAAAACAGAAACTCCTTCGGTGGAGGAACTTGAAGACGACGGATTGACGGCAACACCATTTTTCAGTGAGCTAATGGATTCCATGTTACCACGCCAACAATCGCAGCAAACATGCGTAGCGGCTCCTGGCCGTACTTGCAACTACACAACTCTCGTCAACATCACCAAAATCGTGAGGGCGTTCTGTCGGTCGGTTGAAGAAGTACTGAAAGAGTCGACGGAGATCGAAGGAACGGGTGACAGTCGCAAGAAACCAGCAACCTCGTGCAAGCGTATACTGGAGTTGAATCCTAATGCCGAGTCAGGCACCTACTGGGTCCAGGGAAGAGAAGGTGGCGTGCAAGTTCACTGTGAAATGAGAGACGTCTGCGACAGGGAGTCTGGAGGCTGGATGAGAATAGCCGATGTCGACATGACCGAATCCAACGAACAATGTCCATCTCCTTTAGAACGAGTGAGTGGAAAGCAATTGTGTGAAACAAGAATCGGTTCAAGAGGAGGATGCTCCGGACCATCCACATTTGAAACACGCGGTATTCAGTACTCTCGAGTGTGCGGCAGGATCAGAGCATTCCAGAAAGGTAGCACAGATGCGTTTGCATCACCAGACCCCACAAAAAATGGAACACGAGAAGTGAGCATTAATCAAGCATACGTCGACGGAATCAGCTTAACGCATGGAAGCCCCCGCACACACATCTTCACCTTCGCTTCTGCCCTCAATGACAAGACATCGGGATTCACGTTTGCTCAGTGTCCATGCATGCGAACATTCGGAAAGAGAGCACCTCGAGTGCCTAGTTTTGTTGGGAGAGACTTCGTCTGCAACACTGCCAACCTGGATCAAAATATACCAAAGAATAATACACAGTTCCTGGATTATGACATCTGGGGTGGCAACAGGTGTTCGTCACGGAACCAGTGCTGCAGTGCGAGAGGTTTGCCGTGGTTCTCCAGATCTCTTGATTCTCCAACTTGCGACAACGTGGAGATGAGGGTGTGCAATGACGAGGGGACCAAGAACGAAAACGTCTGGCTGGAGCAAGTCGAGCTCTACGTTCAGTGATTTGTATATATGGAGCATGGACTTCAGTAGAATTAGTATGTAAACAAAATGATTCCATTTTACCCTGTATTCACTTGTTTTTACACTTTGCCACTTTACTCAGACCATTTTTTTTTAAATCAGCAGGCAGATGAATACGAAGTCTTTTGCAAACTTTTACACAATACACACACGCACACACACACACACACACACACACACACACAAAGACTCACTAAAACACACACACAACTTTTAGAAGAGAGAGCTAAATAACAACTCACCTGCGGCTGCAGACACCTGGACAATACTCAGAGCTAGTTTGTAAAGAAGTAGCTACTTTTTTACACACACGCACGCATGCACACACGCACACTACAAACCCACCATAATGTGCGGGAAATCCTCCAACCCACATACCCCACTGCATACAAGTACGGCAGAACAACAAGTATAGAGGAGAGCCATTCGGGGATGGGTCTTCCGGAAGGATCCAGGAATGCAGCTGTCACCATGAGGAGGTTGAGGAGGATGGCCGTCTCTATGACATTGATGTACATCTTCTCGTACGGTTTGACAAACAGGTGGACGATCAGAACAGTCAGAGCTGCGAGGCTCATCAGGAACTGGGGGAGGAAGGAAGAGGTTAATCATCAGCATGCTGCTTTGTTGAAGAAGAAACGAGACTCGCCAGGACAAGCGAAGGTCGGAGGAGGACGAGGAAGAACCCGAAGAAGACAAAGGGAAGTCGGCGACCAATGTCCCACCCGCCCCACCACCAATGACGCGGCTGCACGCCCTTTGTGAGGATGTCTGCATACTGTTTGAACCTCTGAGGGAAGAGGGGAGGAGGAAGGAGGGAGGAGCTGAGCTGAATCCAATATCTAAAGGTGTCCATGGTCAAATTGTACATGATATGCGCATGCAATCCATTACTACAGGACAAAATTAGCACTTCAATTTTCGACTAGGTAAGGACTCAAAATTTAGTCTTATATGAAGATTGAGAGCTCTATTGTTAGGGACAATTTTCAACCCATTGCTGCAGGACTCAGCGGCAGATCTAGGATTTTGAAAGGGGGGTTCCGCTATCCAGAACGTTTTCGACTGCGCTCGTGCGCGTGCACGAGGCCTGCAACACATGTGTGCAAAACGACAAAAAGGGGGTTCTGTTGAACCCAAGGAACCCCCTGGATCCACCACTGGGACTTATTATGCTACTGTAATAGCTACAGAACACAGGGGTCCATTAGGTGGGCTCGCTTCACTTCCACATTGTGAGGTACTACGTATGTAGTATACCTGAGGTCTTCTGATGCAGATGTAGCCGATGGCAAATGGAGCAGGAGTGACAAACAAGATGACTAGTAACAGGCCGATGACAGCAAAGACAGCAAACTCTGGACTGGTGCACTTTACTGACCCATCATACTGGAACACCTGGGGGCAGGGGGTAATATAGAATCTGTTGGTAGAGCCCTCTCTATGCTCTGCTGTATGAGTAGTTCAGCCCAGCCAGCTGAGCTGCCTCAGTAGCTCAGTTGGTAGAGCCCTCTCTATGCTCTGCTGTATGAGTGGTTCAGCCCAGCCAGCTGAGCTGCCTCAGTTGGTAGAGCCCTCTCTATGCTCTGCTGTATGAGTGGTTCAGCCCAGCCAGCTGAACTGCCTCAGTAGCTCAGTTGGTAGAGCCCTCTCTAGAACACAGAGTGCTCTGCCTTGCTCTGTATGAGTGATTCAGCCCAGCCAGCTGAGCTGCCTCAGTTGGTAGAGCCCTCTCTAGAACACAGAGTGCTCCACCTTGCTCTGTATGAGTGATTCAGCCCAGCCAGCTGAGCTGCCTCAGTTGGTGGAGCCCTCTCTAGAACACAGAGTGCTTTCCTTGCTCTGTATGAGTGATTCAGCCCAGCCAGCTGAGCTGCCTCAGTTGGTAGAGCCCTCTCTAGAACACAGAGTGCTTGCCTTGCTCTGTATGAGTGATTCAGCCCAGCCAGCTGAGCTGCCTCAGTTGGTAGAGCCCTCTCTAGAACGTACCAGCCCAAACTCGGTCTGGTTACAGCTGATGAAAATGAAGGCAGTGTCCGCGATGTACTTGTAGATGAAGAGAGAGAGAAAAGTGATTCCTTTCAGAGACGATCTGTTGCTGAGATGTTTACTAAACCTCGCACTGTTGGAGAGAAAGAAAAGGTAAAAAAAATGTTACAAAAAAAATTTGGATCCTACCACACCTAAAAATATTCTGAGGCTATGTACGTATATTATACGTATAAAGTCAAAGTTACGTTAAAGTTGTAGCAATTTGCACAGCTTATTGAGGGAAGGACGCGTATTTCTAACATGAAAAAATAATTAGCACATCTTTTCACAAGGGCGTGCATGCAAGGATGTAAGAGAGACCTGAATATGTAGCTAGCAACAGTCGCCATGGCGAGAATGGGAGAGATGTAACCAAGGAGAGCCACGTAGTGGGCGGGGACTTGTGTGGAGAGACAGAGTGGAAATGGAAGACTGAATCCGAGTAGGTTGACCAGAATGGAGAGGAGTGTTGAGGAGGCCTGGGAGGGAGAAAGGGACGGATTGGGGAGGGAGGAGAGGAGAGGGGAGGGGGAGAGGGGGAAATGACAAAGAAGAGAAGGGAGGGAAGAAGAAAAAGAGTGCAGGGAGAGGGAGGAGAGGGAGGAGAGGGAGGAGAGGGGGAGAGAAAGACAAAGACAAGAGGAAGAAGAGGGACAGTAGAAGAGGTGGAGAAGGGAAGGTGGGAGAGGGGGAAAGAAACGAAAGTGAATGATTAAGAAACACACCAGAAAGAAGTCAACCAGACTCACATTAGTCGTCGTCTGGACAACGGCATACGGTCTATACACCAGTCCAATAACCTTTAGTGGAAGATAAGGACAGCTGTGAAATAAAATAGCGCTAACATTCTCATAAAGTGAAACGTTTGTACAAATCTCAAATGTATGCAGGACAACCTGTGTCATCCATTATACTAAGTACTACATACCTGTGCATAGAATAGAAACCCCTTCAGTTCATTGGGGAGTTCGATATCAAAGAACATGATCAGAAATGACACTGCCACAACCAGCAGACCTGTGGAGGGAATGACCGTAAAAATTGTCACTACGGTGAAAAAAAACTTTCATGTTTCAAGGATTTTATGAAATCTCGATTCACAGAAAAGGGAGGAAAGGAGAAGGCAGGAGATAGAGGAGGTTAAGAAGCCAACTCACAGAGGATGATGAAGACAGCTAGTCCGGCGCCGCAGTTCTGTTCACACTGCTGGAGGTCAAGGGTCACTCCGTACCCGTCCTGACATGTTCCACACAGTCGACCTTTGGAGAAAGGCAACGAGATAGAGAGATGGGGAACGTGAGTGGAGGTGTACCACTTAGAGCTCCAGAACACAGTACTGTAGGTCTAAAGTACGGTGGAAATAATACCTAAACATTTCGTACTTTTAGCAGGCAAGTGGGGGGAAGGACAGACCAACAAACCATCCTGAATACCTTGGCTATAGCTGGAGAGTGCAGTGGAAGTAATAGGGTGGCCTAAACTTGTACTTTTAGCAGGCAAGTGGGGGGAAGGACAGGCCAACCAACCATCCTGAATACCTTGGCTATAGCTGGAGAGTGC